CCCCAAAACCCCAAAACCCCAAAACCCCAAAACCCCAAAAATAATATTTTTTTAAGTACAAAATGATTTTATTGGGCTGACCTTCTCCTGTTAGCAAAGTTACTTACTGAAGGTAGCAAGTCTAATGGCCTAGAGGTAGACTTGGGTTCAACCTTTGCTCTCAGCTTCTTGTTGGCCTTAGCGAAGAACTTTATCTTTCGTTTGAAATTTGAGCTAGGTTTCTTGTCAACATTCTTCATCTTTTTAACACAGTAGTCCAGCATTAAATCACATCTATGGTTTATGGTGAGTTTGAGGGCGGCAATTACGACTAGGCTTACCCAAAAATTTGTGCCTTTTGAGCATTCACAATAGTGTCTTTGAGCTCTACTTTAGACCTATTGCTTGATATCTCAGGGAAATCCTGGCGAACATCATGACTAATATTGAATTTTCTCCGGTTACGCTTTATTTTAAGCTTGGGGTATTTCCTAAGAATAATTCATGGTAAATACTACCTTGGTTTGGAAAGCCTACTTAGCCTTTTATTTATCAAAATATTTAACCTTTGGCTTATTCTGCCCAGAATCATCTTTATGCTCTTTATAAACCATTTTCTCGTGAATCATCTTACCAAACCTATACCCAAAACTACCATAATATTCTAAATTTTCCATCCAACTTTATTCCTTCAAAAATCAACTTAGTCTACTTCTTTTTCAAAAATTAAAAAAACCGAACAAACTCCAGCTAAAGATAAGCTCCTTAAACAGCTTTAAAATAACTTAAAACAACTTTTAAGTCTCTTTTAGACTTACCTGTTCTCTTTCCAAAGCTGATATGAATTCTTCTTAATTTTCTCCTTCCTATTAAAACAGTAAGTCTTTATTTGAGTTGGATTCCCAGGATTTGAGCTATAAGAAGATTCTGAGAGAGCTTCATTGATCGGTAGTTTTGGAGCAGACGTTTTAGTGGCAATTGAAGGAGCTATTGACGGGATCTTCTGAATGCTCTTTGGAGGTGAATACTCTATATCCCATATATAACCACCTCTTAAAGCGTAAGGTGACAACCACCTTCTTTAAGCTAATATCCCACTCAAGCTACTTAAAATTTCTTTCCGCTGTGCTGTCATATTTATAATAAACCCTCCCTCTTTGTTCCTAAAATTCCAAAAATTCTCTCACAATGAATCAAATATTGCCGAATTCTAGCTGGGCTTACCATGGTCATTAGAAATGGATAACAGAGGAACAAATGTGGAGTTATTTGGCTTGATACTTGGGACTGCTGCTTTCTGGATATCTAGAGCTTCATAAATGGTCTAAAATTACCGAAAATAACATTATTTAGTCGACCCGTTCCTCTCCCCTGGGTTGAAGTAGCTCGGATCCAGAGCACCACACATCGACTTCTTCCGAATTTTCGATTGGAAGGAGCTATTTATATAACTCCCTGATCTTAACTTTTTCTTTGTAGGATTTTTATTTGTACATGTGATGGTCTTTGTATACTAGAAAACCTGTTAATAGTAATATTTCTGATTCTAAAGAAGCAGATGGGTGGTAGCCAACCCAGGCAAAGCCCCATAAATGTCTGATAGTTAGGGAGATCACTGAAGAGTTTCCTCTAATTTTCTCAGATAAAATTTGTAAGATTTTAGCCTAGTTTTGAAACTAAATGTTACAAAATTTTCATATCTAAGATTCGAGCTAAACGGTGAAATTTGCTTCTTTCAGGCAAGAAGTCTTATCTTAATCTAGAGTAGTTCATCCCTGATCAAAGTCGACCTTCTGATACGCAGAAGTACGCAAGTGGATTAGGACTGAGTTTAAACTTGCTGAATTCAAAGCGACATTACTTGGTTTTCTGAGCCTTACAGTGGGCAAGAACTTCCTTACCCTTCGAGCCTCTCTGGAGAAAGCATCCCTATGCAGTTAGTAAAGCTCGGCTTACTTCTTGTCAATATCTTTAGCAGAGGAATTTGAGGATTTCCTCCTTCGACGTTTAGGAGGCTCCCTTGAGCTATTTTGAACAACAGAGAACGTGTCTTTATAGATCTAGAAGCTAGGTTAGATATTATGATTTAGGTGTAATTTATAGGGATCAGGAAGCAGAAGAGTGAGTAATGGTTACTATGGATTTGCTCATAGTTTCATGCTTTCGAATTTGGTAAAAGCTGTTTGAGGTTCTTGAATTTGAGAAAATTTTATTGAGGATATTTGTATTACCTTTATCTTGTCAATCAGGTTATTTAGTTTATACCAGAAGTCTGTCTTTCCGCTAATTTTAAAATTAGAAAGAGGCTATTAAAGACCAAAAAGAGAAACAATACCTCTTAATCGATTGTGCATGTAATAAGTTCTTTAGACGTTGAGAGTCAAGTTCATCTTGAGAATACTTAAACCTGTTATATGCACTGTTTGTCTCTGATAAGGAATTATCGTTTTCAGAATTCATATTTATTTTCAATTTATAACAAAGAATATGGGGTTTTGGGGTTTTGGGGTTTTGGGGG